TTTTGAGTGATGTTTAAAGATAAAAATGACCTTTAATCTTATTTTATACTATCACATTGATATTAGATATGGCACTATAAACTGAAAAAGAGGATAATCTTAAAATTTTGGTATATATGTACTTTATGTAATAGTACTTTCAAAATGAGATTAAGAGAAAAGAGATTTCAATTATAGGACATGGGCCACATTTATATTAATGCATCGTTTTCTTCCAACATCATGATTGAAGGAGTGTATGGATGGTCCAATAAGGATTTTTAATGATTCATTTAATCGTCTTAGTTTTGCAAATATATAATGGTTTCATATTAAATGTTTTATAACTGTCTAATATAAGATTAAAATAACCATTCGGTATGAGTTTTTTTTTTTTTTTGTAGTGGTGGTAGAAGATTTATTTGTGTTTATTGACACGGTCTATTTACAATTTGTGAAATGTATTATATTAATCATTTTTGTGCAAAAATAATGGATACCCTGTAATCTTTTTAGCTTACAATGTCAATGTAAAATATGAAAGATCCAATAATCTATGCTTATTTATAAACTGTAAATAATTTAACTTATTTTTTAAAACTTAATGCATTAATGTATGAGAGACCCACATAATATTATAACATGAATTTTTTATAAAAAAAACCTGTATCAAAAATAAAATCGGGAATGATACAGCTCATTTATTAGAGACTTTTCATAAATCGTGATTTTTCATTAAAATAAAAGGAAGCACGTTTAGCCCATATTCATACCAAAAAGGGAAGCACGTTTAGCATTCCGTGTGGGCTTGGACGGAGAGCATATAGAGACAACTTCTTGGTGAGCGACTGAAAGAAGGCCTTAAAGAGGTGGTGGGGCCCACCCATCTAAAAAAAGCAGCGACTAAAATGTAGTGCGGTATAAATCAATCAATTAGAGAAAATGGCAAATATGGACCATATAAGTATGCTAATAGCAATGAAGACCATGATTTTTAAAATTTTGGGAAAGAACCAAGGTCTTTTTAGAAAGTTGGGAGGACAAAAATGCTCATTTTAAAGCTCTGCTTTTGACAACTAACCAACTATTGTAGTCAAGATTTGAGCCTTGTCTTTATCTCCTTGATTTTTAATAGCTTCATAAATAAATTTAATAGAAAAATTATTATTCGAGAAAAGTCTCCAATAGAGAGAATAATCATCACCATGAAGATTGAGAAATTGGACAATGGAGATTAGTTTGACCACATCAGCATATAAATAATTGCTTATTTGGTCTATCTTTTGTCTGCCAATAATAGAGATCAAAAGTTTCAAATTGTAGCATGCAAAATATCCTTAGCATTAGGATATGCATACTTGACAAGAGGTAGAAGTAGAGGTGACATTCTTTCATACTAGAAAGATATTTGATCCTTGTTACCAACTTTCTAACCTACATGTGTCATAAAGTTGTCCTAGACTTTACAAATACTAACATAAATATAAGAAGATGAACTTGGTTTGTAAACCACTAGAATAGTCAACCTATCATATTTGTATTTATCATGTAGGATCTAAACTCAAAGACTTTTAGGTTTTGTGACAATGCCTTTATAGAGTTTCATAAGCAAGCAATATTTTGATTTTTAAGATTCTTGAAGTCAAGACTACCATAACTATATGCTGAACCCCAAAACAAGTGTCTAGAGCTTTTATCCAATTCAGCAGGCACATTGTCATGTAGAAGCATAGTTTACATGATGTAACTAAGAGTAAAAAAAAACACATTTGCCAATAATATATTTTTTATAATATTTTGAGGCAGCAACTTCCTGCTTGACAGACATGAGTTCGTTTTTTTCTAGCAAAATAGTGAAAGTTAATTTGAAGGCCCTTTCATGTAGGAGCATGAGATATTTGCTAAGATTTTCAATGATGGGAATTCCTAATTTGCAAGGCTCTATTAAGATGGTTGTCATGACAATCTTTTCAAGTTTTATGCGTAAGAGTGAATTCTTTTTAAAAATGTTCGTCTCAACAAACTTTTATATATATTGAGATAGTTATTGTAATAATCTTCCGTAAGTGATAATTTAGAGGCCATCATCAATGAAATCCTTTGAGAATTTGTCAAAAGCCTTTTCAATATTCACTTTGAAAGCTTTGAAGTCTTTCTCCCCATTTTGATCCGCCCAACTTCTTAAAAATTCATTCAAAGACTTTGGTCCTTTTTTAATATTTCAAAAATTCATGGTCTTTAATCATAATAAATGCCTTATGTGATCTTTCATTGTCGTTTTCCTAATCAACTACCGATCACTCCACATGGATGTGCTTGATACATGTGCTATTGCTAACATCATCAATACTTATCTATTTCCGTATGGGTTTGTATGTTTTCTCCATCTCCCTCGGACCCAAATCTTTCCAAGATTTTCATTTCGCTTTCAACCCTCTCATCTAGCAAATTGCTAGTTCTTTCTTTTTTCTTTTTCTTTTTTCCCTCCCAAAAGTAATTTATGTTACATTTACTTTTTAGAAAATTGCTTAAATCATATTTACTTTATATATATATAAATTGGGTAATTAAGTAATTTATATCCATATATAATATTAAAACTCTGACAAATCTTACTTTTAAAATTAAGGCAAAAATATTGTGATTTATTATCTAAACTTGGTGCGATGGACATGACTTATATTAATTTAAAATTAAAATTAGAAAGAATATTGAATATTGAAGATTGAAGAATTATAGTAAAATAACATTATAATAGTGTTTATAAGTAGTGATGTTTGATGTAGCCAAAAACATGCTCACGATCTTTTTTATATGCTCTTTCCATTTAAAAATGTAAGGTATTTTTAACTGAAACTTATCCCCAATAAAGTAGTTAATTACTTTTCAACTAACCTTATTTTTTCATATTTATCCCTATTAAATACCCTATAATAAATATAAAGTCATTATCAATAGGACACTTTTAAAAAAATAATGATTACACCTTAAAAGATTAAAAATGCGTTATATTTTTGAACATTTAACTTTTTAAAAAATATCTTACATTTTTTAATGGAGGGAATATATAATAGATAGATAGATAGATAGTAAAAAAAAAATAAAAAATCTTATACATGGACATATAGATAGAGTACATTAAGAATAGTAGTACTAAATGTAATACATAAATGGGAAAAAACTATAGTATGTTTGTTCACAAACAGGCAGGTATACTGAATCTCAAGCCAAGTGCATTAATTGTAAACAACTTCAATAACTAAGTTATACTTAAAGAAAATGTGTATAACTATACGTTAGTACTTTTCTTTCTTTCTTTCTTAAATATTTTTTAAAACTTATTATGCCTAGCTATAAACCTTTCACCCAATCTTGTATAACAACAACAACAAGTATTTTAAATATATTACACATCACACAATAATAAAAAAATATTTTATTAGCTTATATTATAGATACTCCTTCCAATTCTATATATGAGTAACATTTCATGAGGAATTTATGATTTTATTATAAATTACTTACAAAAAAAAGTGAATGATTAATTATTTTCTCCTAATTTTATTTTTTTTAACAATTTTCAGTAAGTAGAAAAGAAAAGGTTACTTGAGAGAAAAATATTTTTTAAAGATGATGCATTTAATATGGGTAAATTAATTTTTTTAAGACAAGTTTAATAATTTAACTACCTTTTATTAATTTTAATTATATAGTTAAAATAACTTATAAATAGGATAAAAAAATTTTGGCCCATAACAAATAAGAGATTGCATAAAAGTTTCTGGACTTGGCATTTTACCAAACAATTTATTTATTTTGGTCCCCCCGCTAATAATATATCTAGTTGGTGATCATTAAAAATAGTACCAGCAAGCAAATATTGGCAACACGTTTTCTTTGGCCATTTCATGTTAGTCGTTTATAATTACATACTATCTCTAGATCACAAAATATCTCTAACTACTTTATTAGAATTAAGAAGATAGGGTTACATCATTAACTTTATCTGAAAAATAATAAATTTTTAATTTTATTCATATTTAAAAGAAAGAATTTTAAATTTACATTACATTCTTTCTCATAATTAATGTGTTTAAATATATATAATATTAACAAATGTAATTAGTATTCCACCAACTGTTTTATATTGAAGACTCACTTTTTTTTTTTGGAAAGATACCTTGATGAGGATTTGAGGGATTTATATTCGATGATTACCTTAAATTTACTAACTCAATAGGTTTCATGATTATAATTGAATTTCATTAATACTTGAAAATATTAATATACATTTCCTTTTAAAAATTCAAAATAATTACAATGATCAAAATACTCTTCACATATATTATCCCTTCAAAAATTTGAAATTTGAAATTTTCAAAATATTATATGATAAAACTTTTTATAACTATTTGATTAAATTGAATAATTGTTATGTAAAATGCTTATTGTGTGGGCAAAGTTAATTCAGATTTGAGGGAGTAAACGGTATGTGATGCCAACCACACCTTTAAGGATATTGTTGGGCAAGTTAGATCTTTTTTCTCTATAAAAGCTCAAATTGAGTTAAATCATGTTCTTAGAGATGATAATCTAATTAGACTACCTTACACTTTAAAAATTAATTTTTACGTTTTTAATTATTATCTACGTCCTAATTTAAGTATGAAAATGATAAAAGATGATAGGCTTTTTTGGTTTTGTTTTCGTTCCTTGATGTATTTTGCTTCCATTGATTACTATTTGCATTTCAGTTTCGATTCCAAAAAAAAAAATTTTTTTTTTTTGAGGGAGAAATGCACAACCACGTGGCCTTATCTGAGTGTAACTTGTTCACACTTGTCATTCACTCACATTCTTGACTCTCCTATGATATCCGGGTCGTACATAACGTATCTAAACTCGCGGCTTTGATGAATAGTCAATTAAACGATGTCGGTCAACCCCCCCTCTCTCTGTTTTTTGTTTTTTGAAATTAGAGCCTCCCCCTCTCACTAGACATATAAAGAAGACAAACCGAATTTTCCCCCGTCTCTCTCTCTCTCTCTGAGCCAGGCAAGCCACCTGCCTCAGATTATTCTTCACAGCGTGAGACCGAACTTTCACGTAGACACATTTCATTTCGTTCATCAACCTTCGATGAAAACAATGCTGCCATCTTTATTCTTTGTTTTTCTCTGTTGCTATAAATCCAACCCTTCTCTCATTTCCTAATTTTCGTTCTTCAATCCTAAACCCCACCATTCTGAGTTTTTCTCTTCGATTTATCTCCCATGGCTCCCATCAATCTGAAGCAAGCCCCAAACGCCGCTGCCACTTCTCAAGCAATAGCATCGTCTCAGGATGCTAGAGTCCTTGTGCGCGAAACGCTGCGTATAAGTGCTAATTTGGCATCACCGCCTACTGTTGCTGCTACTCCCGCCACCTCTGAAGTCGCGTCGTTGGTTGAACCGGAGTGTCGAAGGAGAATTATTGGGGGTGTTGCTGTTGGTGGTGAGGAATTTGTCGGTTCGAGCTTCAGATTGATCTGCTGCGAGGAAATGGGTGGCCGTAGATGGAAGTATGTGGCGGAGAGCGATGGCTCGGGAGGCTTTAAACGGAATTCCTTTCGCGCACTTAGCTTGTATACTCCTCAAGCGCCACTTGATGTGAGTAACTTCTCCGTCAATTTTATAATAATTACTCGTTTTTATATTCGTGTGGTTTTATGTCTTGCTCTCTGGTTGCAAGTATAATACGTATATGTTGGACGCTTTTCAGTCCTTCTTCAAAATATTTGTTAGAGAAAAAGAAAAATTGATCCGTTCTGTTGTTGGATACTGAGGTGTTGAATTATTGCCAATACAGATTGTTTTGATTTACATAATTTAGTTAGTTAAGTTGGAGAGTGACATTCTTCTTTCCCCTTAGTGGACATCCGATAAAATTGGAAGATACGGAGTTAGCATTGTGCTGTGAACAAGGATGGCACGCACAGATCGTGGATGACATTTCACTGGGCGTTGTGCATTTAATTGAGTTCCTTTAATATTTCTAGATTTAGAGATTCTATGATTTATTAGCTGCCTCAACGTTATACGATTGGGATAAGTTTATAGGAATAAATTCGAAACAGTATATGCAAAAATCTGGGTAATATCATTACTTGCAAATAATCAATCTTATAATCAGGCCAAAAAAAAAAAAAATCTCTATAGGTTTTATATTTTAATCTGTGCTCATATCTGGAATCAGTAAGCTTTTGATCGATTCATATTCTTTATTATTAATGTCACTAGAATGAAATCCATAGATTTGACTTATCGAATGCCAGCTGAAGGGACACCATTGTTATTTTATTTAAGTAGACCAGTTCTGGTGCGGCATTGCACGGGAAAAAAGAGAAAAGGACATATATTTGTGAAGTTAGACACATGATAAATGTACAGTAAATTTATAGTTATATTATAATGATATGTAACTGCAATGAATATGATAAACTCTCCCTTACAGTATGCTTATTAAAATAAAGGGTTATAATGTTGGCTACTTGCTGTTTACTCCCCTGACATTCACCTAAGATGTACTGACATGATAATACAATATCAAAAACAGAAGTAACAAATAATTTTCGATGCTTTGTATGATTGAATAAAGAAATATTGCCGGATCTGGAGATGAAAATGCCTTATGCTGAAATCCAAAAAGGTAGGGAGCCTTGAATTCTTTTGTGGAAGCAAGTTCTTACTTCTTACATGTTTTTGCATGCAGGAGTTAACGTCATTTGTTAGATCCTAAGTTCTTACTTCTTACATGTTTTTGCATGCAGGAGTTAATGTCATTTGTTAGATCCTATGTTGTTCCAGAAGGTTTCCCTGATAGTGTTACTCCTTCATATGTGCCATACATGACATGGAGAGCTCTGAAGGTATTTACTTTCATAATGTCTGCCATACAGAAAATAAGCTGTATTAGAAATTCTTTTGTTAACTAATATTTGCAGTTTTGCATCAATACAATGTGGGCAAAATTTTTATCAGTATCAGATTGAGATTGGATTATTGCTATTTTGATGAATATATTGATTTTAATGCTAACAAAAAAACCCTTTTCCTTGCAGCACTTTTTCGGTGGAGCAATTGGTGTGTTAACAACTCAAACACTCTTAAGTTCAGTAGGAGTCTCTCAAAACAGAGCTACTCCTGGGGCTGTAGCTATCAACTGGATTCTCAAGGTAGGATAATATCCACTTAGCTTAACCCTGTAATTGCTTCCCCCCTGAAATAACTTCAATGATTGGAAAAAGATATGGTCTGAAAGTGACCAGATTTACCATCTATGTAAGCACAAATACAGATACACATATGAGATGACAAGATATGTTACATGAGATATGACAATTTCTAAAATTTTAGGCTATGCGTGTGTATGTATTACTTCATAATTCTGTATGTGCAGTCAACAGATCAATTCTTTCTCAATTACAATACACTTCATAAATGTATTACTTTAAACAATCTAAATTTTGATATCAGGAAAATGAGAAAGCAAAAAATTGAGCCAACCTATACTCTTATGAACCTCTCTGGGGCAATACACGTGCACAAAATACACCTTTAAAATTTAGGACCAATAATTTTTTTTTTTTTTTTGCTGAATTTCAGTCTACTGAGCTCATTGAAAATTCATTAATTTTTTAAATAATAATTTTATTGCCTTTTTCTTGAAAAAAGACAAATGAACCCTCTAAATTAAAGTATGGACAGATGCTGGACCATGAAGTTCTGAAATCCATGTGAAATTCTAAATTCAATGGTCTTGTCTTTCCATGACAATGGCCCTTTTTGTACCACTTCCGTACATTTTGACAACTTGAGGTGTTTCAGTGCATTCCAGTACTGTTTTGTAATGCTCGTTTTTTTTTTTTTTGGGAAACATTTTGAAATGCATTGGACAAAAAGGGAAAAACAAGAAAAGGGATTATGTGTATGGTATGTGTATTTGTATCAGCTATATGTCTGATATGGCTATGGTACCTAAAATGGCATATGGTGCACCCTACTTTACCATCTCTTTGTTCGCTTATGTGGGCCCAAATATGCCAAGTGTGCTTTATTGTTTTAAGCTTGCGAAAGATAGACTTGTTTTTCATACAATTGCTGACATTCGAGTGAATATGATTATGTTTGATAATTATAGGATGGTGCTGGTCGTATTGGAAAGATGATTTATGCTCGGCAAGGAAAGAAGTTTGATTATGACCTTAAACAGGTTTAAATCAGTTACTTCTGGTTAATTTAATTATAATCTTCTCTGCAATCTGCTCTCTGAAAGTTATTTGTGTTGCAGTTGCGATTTACCGGTGATCTTCTGTTGGAGTTAGGTGCTGGGGTGGAATTGGCAACTGCAGCAGTGCCACATCTATTTCTTCCTTTGGCATGTGCTGCTAACTTAGTAAAGGTTTGATGACCTCCTTACCGTGAGTGATCATGATTTACTACTATGCCAGTTTTGCAGGCTTATTTGTTAATTTTTGCTTTAGAATGTTGCTGCTGTAACATCAACATCAACTCGGACACCAATTTATAAAGCCTTTGCTCAAGGAGAAAACATAGGTGATGTCACTGCTAAAGGAGAATGTGTTAGCAATATTGCAGACCTGGTATGCTTACAAGCTTCTACATTAGCTGTCATCATTTGTTGGGAAATTATGTTGCGTTAATTACTGGCATAAATTTGGAAGCTTAACAATTTTTTTTTTTTTTTCCAATTGCACTTTGCATGTTTAAGGTAAGTATTGATTAGAACCCACTTAACTGTGGTGGCTGTTTCAAAATAAATAAATGAAAGATCTGCCATTGTCAAAATCCACTTCGACTCAGAAGCCGAAGCCCCCCCCCAAAAAAAAAAAAAAAAAAGAGAAGCCAAGCCTTAAATGGAGGACAAAACTCAGGCTAACTATATTGATGAGACATAATTGTAATCAGTTTGTTTTATTATGTTTTTTTTTTTTTTGGGATGTTGAACTCCTGACCCCTTGGTCATAAGTGGTAGGTGCTCACGATAGTAAAATAGAATAAGAGAAATAAATCTATTAGGAGGGTATGAAACAAGAATCTCGTTCTATACTCCTCTTAATAGCCACGCTTAGGAGAATTTTCAAAGGGTTTGAAAGACTGTTTCATTAATTCTGATATGCTAGCTTCTAAGTTGCTAGTCATATTTATAAAGCTAAATATAATAAAATATTAAATAAAATCTAGATAACTGGATAACTAGATAGATTCTCCTAAAATTCAAAATACTAAAAAATCCAAATATCTAAAATGCTGAATCAAATCTAAACAACTAAATAAAATCTAGGGAAATCTGAATAAAAACTAAATAGAGGAAAATACCAAATAAAATATTAAATAAAAGACTGAATCAAATCATCTATCTTAATTATCTTAATTTATCCTATTTTATCTTTTGATGCTTCCTTCTTGAATAAGTCTTTATAGGCACATTATCTGGAATCTTATCATTACCCTGCCCTTGAAAACTCAACTTGTCCTCAAGTTGAAAAGAGGGGAATTGGACACGCAGGAGGTCGTAGTCCTCCTAACTTGCTTCCTCCATAGGTCGCCCATGCCATTCCACCAATAGCTCCAGCGAATGATGACGTGTCCAATGATGATCTAAGACTTGATGGGGCCTCACATGTAACTCAAAATCAGCTGATAGTGGTAAAGAAGCTGGTGTAGTTGGCGCCGCCATCCCATATGTTGGGCGTAAGAGAGATACATGAAAAATAGGATGAATACGAGCATCTGCAGGAAGTTCCAACTCATAGGCCACCTTTCCAATCCTTCGAATAATCTTGTAAGGACCAAAAAAGCGAGGTGATAATTTTTCAAACTTCCTCTTGGTCAGTGATTGTTGGCGAAAGGGTTGTACTCGTAGCCACACTACATCACCCATGGCATACTTAACTTCTCTCCGACGTTTGTCAGCATAAGCCTTCATCCGGTCCTGAACCTTGCGTAAATCGTCCTTCAAGAGTTTGAGCATTGCATCTCTAGTTTCTAGTTGATCTTCCAATTCAGTGATAGTGGTTTCACCCTTGACATAAGGACACAAGGGCGGAGGATCTCTTCCATATACTAGCTTAAAAGGAGACTGTTTGGTTGATGTATGATGACCTGTGTTATAGGAATATTCAGCCCAGCAAAGAAACTTGTGCCATGACTTAGGTTGCTCATGTGCAAAACATCGAAGATAGGCTTCAAGACAGCGGTTAACCACCCCTGTCTGACCATCAGTTTGGGGATGGTAGGCAGTACTCATTTTTAATTTGGTCTGGCTTAATCTGAATAATTCTTGCCAAAAAGAGCTCATGAAGATAGGGTCCCTATCAGATACTATTGAGCGAGGCACCCATGTAACCTGACAATTTCCTCACAAAAGATGGTGGCCACTTTTTAGGCGGTATATGGACGCGCAAGAGCAAGAAAATGGGCATACTTACTCAAACGATCAACTACTACCAAGATGACCTCAAAACCTCCTGACTTAGGGAGACTAGTGATAAAATCCAGTGAGATATCCTCCCAAATTTGAGAGGGTATAGGTAAAGGTTGCAAAAGTCCTGCTGGTGCTAGAGTCTGATACTTATTTTGCTGACAAGTGGCACAATGCCTCACATATGCCTTTACATCGGCCTTCATAGTAGGCCAATAAAAGTTCTCTGATAGTCGCTTGAATGTTTTAAGAAAACCATCGTGTCCCCCAACTGCAGTCGAGTGGGCTTCTGCTAGTAACTTCGGTCGTAGTTGGGATGAGTAGGGAATGACTATTTTGTGGTCATAAAAGAGTTTTTGATCAACCAAGTGAAATCCAGGGCGAGACGACGGATCTTTCTGTATGTCCTGCATTATTTCCTTAGTGAAGGGATCTAATGCTAATTCAGAGGTGAGATCATGAAGCTCTGTAGCGAAAGGGACTGCCAACTGAAAAAAATCTGCATGCTGGGGTTGTCGTGATAATGCATCAGCTCCCTTATTTTCTGCTCCTGCCTTGTGTGTAATAGTAAAATTAAATGGTAAAAGCTTGATGATTAGCCTTTGTTGGGTGTTGGTGGTGACGCGTTGTTGTAGCAAATATTGCAGACTAGCATGATCTGTTCTGACAAAAAAATGCCTCCCAAGGAGGTAATGGCGCCATTTTTGTACTGCAAGAACTAACGCTAGGAGTTCTCGATCATAAGTGGATTTGAAGCGATTAGAGAATGAAAATCCTTTACTGAAGTAAGCAATGGGATGGTTGTTTTGTAGGAGTATAGCTCCAATACCTTCTGTGGATGCATTGCATTCAACTACAAATTCCTCCTCAAAGTTTGGTAACTGTAAGACTAGTGCTGTCATCAATGCAAGTTTAAGGTGATTAAAAGCCTGCTAAGCTAGTTCAGACCATAAGAAGGCATCTTTCTTAGTCAACTCAGTGAGTAGTCGTGCAATAATATCAAAATTCTTCACAAAACGTCTGTAATATCCTGCAAGGCCTAAGAATCCACGTAACTCCTTTACATTCTTCGGGACAGGCCATTCTCGTACTACCTCTACTTTTCCAGCCTCAACTTCAACCCCTTGGGCAGAAATGTTGTGTCCTAAAAAGGGAACTCTCGGTCGACCAATGAAGCATTTTTTTAAAGTTTACACAGAATACATTTTCCTGTAAAGTCTGGAATACGGTGTGTAGATGCTCTTGGTGTTGTTGAAGAGATGAACTGTAGATCAAGATGTCATCAAAAAAGACCAGTACAAATTTTCGTAAATAAGGATGAAATAAATCGTTCATGATTGCTTGAAAGGTGGCTGGTGCATTAGTTAAGCCGAAAGGCATGACTGTGAACTCATAGTGCCCGGAGTGAGTTCAAAACGCTGTTTTGTAAATATCATCAGGTGACATCCGAATTGGGTGGTATCTCGATCGTAGATCCAGTTTGGAGAAATAAGTTGCCCCGTGTAACTCATCTAATAACTCATCAATGTTGGGGATTGGGTACTTGTCTGGGATGGTGATACTATTCAATTTTCAGTAATCTACGCAGAAGCGTCATGACTCGTCTTTCTTTGCAACTAGTAAGACTGGGCTGGCAAATGGACTGGAACTGGGTCGAATAAATCCCTTTTGTAGTAATTCTTCGACTTGTTTCTCAATCTCAGTTTTTTGATAACGAGGATATCGATAGGGTCGTAAATTGGGTGGGTTGGCTCCTGGTTGTAGGGTAATGGTATGGGAGTGATTTCGGAATGGTGGCAAATTTATGGGTTCTTCAAAGACGGCAGGAAAGGTGGCAAATAAAGGTTTTGGTTTGAAATATTGGGAAGGTTTAGGATCAGCGGAAGCTTGCATTGAATTAAATTGAGCACCTTTAGCAGCATTAGGAACCCCTTGTAACTTATACCTCTTGCCGTTCACCCAGAAAATCATGAAGAGTTGATTCCAATTGGCTTGCACTGTATTGAGAGATGCTAGCCACTTAATACCAAGAACTAGATCAGCACCTCTTAAAGTGAAGGGGAAAAAATCTTCTTTAATTGTTAACCCCGTCAATTCTACTTCAATATTTTTGCAGACTCGGTTGCATCGCACAATACTACTATCGCCTATTTGGACCCCAAAAGTAGAAATAGCTTGGGTAGGTAGATGAAGCTCCTGAACCAATGCATCAGAAATAAAATTATGGGTGGATCCACTATCCACCAATAATAACACCTGTCTAGAGCCTAATCTGCTACTTAATTTCATTACTGAGCCAGAATTATTTCCCAGGGTGGCATTTAGTGAAATTTCGGCTCCCTTAGGTTCTATTTCTTCAAGCGCGACGTCATCAAGAGGAGGAAAAATCTCCTCTCCTTCCTCGGTGATCTCCATTAGAGAGAAGGAACCCCTACATCGATGCCCAGGCCGGAACTACTCCCCACAGCGGAAGCACAGTCCTTTATCTCTCCTTCTCTGATGTTCGATCTCGCTTGGAGGAAGCTTAGAAGGATGCATATTTGCTGGAGTGAGGGAGGCCGAGGGTGACGCAGTATGCGTCGGGGTCCTGTACGTGTTCGGGCTTGTGTTCGCTGGTGAGAATCCAGCTGACCTCCTCGGTGGTTGATTCGAGTCATGTGCAGTGGCTGAAGACCCATAATAAGGTCGGGTCGGGTTTTGACCCGGATTCAGTTTGGGTCCGTTCGAAGTCATCTTCCCTTCGAATTCCAGAGCAAGGCTGAGCGCACGATATACACTCCTGGGCTTGTGAATTCGAACGTCTGACCGGAGCTCCTCCTTTAGCCCACTGAGAAACACGCCGAGAAGGCAGTGTTCAGGCCAGTTTTTTACTCTGGCGACGCGCCTTGCAAATTCCTGTCGATATTCTTGTACAGAGCCGTCTTGCTTGATTCTGCACAAATATTCGTCCGGGTTCTAGTATTCAGGTGGTCCGTAGTTCTCCTGCAATGCCTTCACTAACTCATCCCAATATAGTAAGGTGCGTTCTGAATTTAACCAAGAGAACAAATCCAAAGCATCTCCTTCTAATGACATAGATGCTATATCCACCTTTGATTCTTCTGGGGTATGATAATACTGAAAATATTTTTCAGCTTTAAGAATCCATCCCCGAGGATCACCCCCGCTGAATTTGGGAAAATCAATTTTGGGTTGAGGGGGACGTGACCCCCTCTTGTAATAATCGAATTCTTCTTCACTTTCCTCATCCCAGTTACGACGTCTGTATTGGCTTTCTGGAGTCCTTCTACTTCTTTGTGTTGCTGATGCTTCTAAGGCTTCTATCTTTTCTTGTAATATGTCGAGTTTCTCTAATTTGGAGGAGATAAGAGCCAGATCGTGCGCAAGCAAGTTAGGATTTTCTGAGGCGATGTTGGATGGGTTATCGGTAGGGTTGGTCTCTTGATCAGCACGTGTAGTGACCATGGCTCTGATGCCAAATTGGTAGGTGCTCACGATAGTAAAATAGAATAAGAGAAATAAATCTATTAGGAGGGTATGAAACAAGAATCTCGTTCTATACTCCTCTTAATAACCACGCTTAGGAGAATCTCCAAAGGGTTTGAAAGACTGTTTCATTAATTCTGATATGCTAGATTCTAAGTTGCTAGTCATATTTATAAAGCTAAATATAATAAAATATTAAATAAAATCTAGATAACTGGATAACTAGATAGATTCTCCTAAAATCCAAAATACTAAAAAATCCAAATATCTAAAATGTTGAATCAAATCTAAACAACTAAATAAAATCTAGGGAAATCTGAATAAAAACTAAATAGAGGAAAATACCAAATAAAATATTAAATAAAAGACTGAATCAAATCATCTATCTTAATTATCTTAATTTATCCTATTTTATCTTTTGATGCTTCCTTCTTGAATAAGTCTTTATAGGCACGTTATCTAGAATCTTATCATTACCCCGCCCTTGAAAACTCAACTTGTCCTCAAGTTGAAAAGAGGGGAATTGGACACGCAGGAGGTCGTAGTCCTCCTAACTTGCTTCCTCCATAGGTCGCCCATGCCATTCCACGTTATCTGGAATCTTATCAATAAGGCTCTAATACCATGTGGAAACTATTTTTCACTGTCCATAGTGTTCTTCCCTGTACATTTATTAGGTTAAGTTGAAAATTTGTCAGAAGGCATGCCTGTCTACCATTAAATCAGTTAAGCATTTTTTTAATCGATTTATAATCAGGTAATATTTGACTTCGTGCATGCTAAGATCAAATTAAACTTAACATGGCTGTACTAGGCATCTTTATGTATGAATAATTTGTTCCTTTTAAATTCTATTTGCAATTCAGGCATCTCTTAAGATGGGCAAACTTGTTATGTCGTGTAAAATTCACATAATGAAAATTGTGGTCTTCTGTTCAAGCAACCTAAGAATCGACAGGAACTTACTGGATGAAATGAATGAGAACCTTTATAATTAATAATAAATTTTTAGTTCTGACTCTTAAGATTTGTCTAATTTTGTTCATCTGCATAACTTGAAAAAAAATTAAAGCCACACTAGCACTAATAACTTGGAAAAAATTGTTAGTGCCTGTTCTATGTTAGTGTGAGGTGTGAGGAATATAGGGGCCAAATTAACTTATTATAAGCAAACTTAATTTCTGGTTTGGTGGATAAAAATAATATACTGTCACAGAAAGTTTTTAAGAACTCATAACATTTGGTAAATTTCTGCTTAATACTATTTCATATGTTTTTTTGTTTTTTAATTGGAACATCTTGTTCATTCTGAATTCATCTTATGCTTTTGTGATTTGATCTAGGCTATTCTTTTACACGCATGTCTGGTTGTGTTTGTGCATGCAAATAAACATCCTATGAATTCAGACCTTATGTAGCTATTACATTGACGGCATATTAGGAAGAAACAAATGAGGAATAAGGATATTGGTTTAAAGTAATGTCTTAGGAAAGCTGATATATTAAGGTTTTCTAGGTTTAAATTATATTTCTTGAAAGTTGAAATGTAGAAAAGGATGGGTTGAAGAGCTAGAGCACATGTAAGTTGTAGCATAGGTCTTGAGAATCAAATTGGTGATAGCTTAGGGTTGTGAACAACGCTGGTGATTGTGGGAGGCTGGTGAGTAATTGGACAAGTTCAAGAAAGAATTGAAATTTGAAAGGAATAGTAGCCCAAGAGATCTGTATTGACTATTGAGTGCTTATTCTGTTAATGGATATTTATTTAATGCAATTTTTAAAGAAGAAATTGTTGATTGAAAAATGGTAGAAATTGACATGACAAAGGAGAAATTTGATAATTCATATTAACAGAGAGTGGTAAATTCTTAAATAGAACTGTCTGAATCCTACAAGAATTAGGACTATTTAGTGTGAGAATCTCAAAACCCCAATCTATTATTCTGATAAAACTGATATAGCTTATATAAGTGAGTCGATAGCATGGAAAATGCTAACTAACTCGAAAAGAAAAAAGCAGAAATGAAGGAGGGAAAATCAAAGCATGATAACAGAAAATATAATCCCATGAAATCAGGGATAGAAAATGTGTAAATTAAAAAACAGAAGACAAATAAATGAAGACAGATTGGGTGACCAGCATTGAGATTTTCTGTCCCTATTAAACTTACACAGAAAAAACTCAGATGACCAAACCTTCTTAGTAATAACATTAATCTCAATTCTGACTACAAATCTACAGCCCATAATAAGGGACTGCAAAAATTATAAATTTGAACCTGGGGATCAAAAACATGAACTGAGCTAAAGTAGCAGCTTACTTGGTCTGTAATTTCTGATTTAAATGAAGCATATGAAATATTGCAAATATCCCTAATATTGTTATAAAAAATGATACTGTGATGATCTTATTTGTAAGGTTATGCTTTATTTTATGCTAGTGATTCTTATGTTCTGTAAGATTCTTATTTTATGTAACTTCACATCTGAAGTCACCACTTCTGATAAAATTAAGCTGAGTCTCCTTTTCCTTGTTCTTTTGTATTTACAGATGGGAACTGGACTTGGCATATTAATGAGCAAAAAAAATCCATCTCTAGTATCCACATTTGCCTTCCTTTCTTGTGGATATGTGCTAAGCTCTTATAGAGAGGTTTGATTTTTCTAAAGATGATTCTTTCTTATGTCTTGTTCTTTCAATCTGGTATCTGTTTTCTTATGCTTATTGCATTAATAGGTAAAATCTGTGGTCTTGCACACACTGAACAGGGCAAGATTTAGTGTGGCAGTAGAGTCCTTCCTCAGGACAGGTATCATAAGACCACCTTTGATGCATGACCATCTCAAACTCACCCGTCCCTTCCCCAACCTACACAAACAGAAGCAGTTTTCTCTGTTATATTATAGCATCATATCCTTTATCTGTATATTAATTGAGCTGTTACATTTCAGGGCGAGTACCTACTTTGCATGAGGGTAATATGAATGAGAACATATTCAGTTTTCCATGGAAAGAGAGGCCTGTTGTCCTTGGTACACAAATGGACTGAAAGATTGATATTTACTAATTACGGTCTCTTATGCTCGAAAGCAATTATTCTAATTATTGTTTTTTAAATTTTTGCAGGATCCAGATTCAAGGATGCCTTCCAAGATCCTAGTGCATATGTTGCCATAAAGCCTCTGTTTGAAGTATGTCCTTATTGAGTGGATGCAAGTTTGAGCCTTCTGTTACAAGTCTATATATTGACTTATTATTAGTAATCATCATGCATCTATAATTTCTTTTAACCAACAGGAAGAGAGGTATCTTGTGACATATAACCCCTCAAAGAGTAAAGTGTATGCACTACTTAAGGGTCAGGCGAAGTCAGATGACATTCTAAAAGCAGCATTTCATGTGAGACATTACTCTCTAGCATATTTGTCAGAATAGTTTGGGAATTTTTTTCTCACTAAGAAGGTCTTGAATTTAAATCACCTCATTTTGCAGGCTCATGTCCTTTTACATTTTATAAATTCATCAAATTCAAGTAAAATTTCTTCTTGGAAGCAGAGGGCGGATCCTAATTCAAATGAGATGCTCAACATTCCTTACCTCAAAGCTTGTATTGCTGAGTCATGCAAGATGGTGTCAAATTCTTATGGGCAATTTAAGAATAAAGCTGAGGAGCAGGTTAGTGGAGACTATTTTTCATCCATGTTTAAACATCATATCTTGTTTTCTGCTTCAAAAGCTTAGGAGCTTGCCTTTGATTATTCTAGCTTTGTAATTACTGGCTGCTATTGAGGTCTTGAACTCCGCCTATGTTTATAGCCGGTCCCAAGCCCGGGTAAAGGAGGAGGGTTGTGTTAGGCCATCAACAGCCAATGTAAAAATTTGTTGAATCTATCATGAATATGGACAATAGACGTTATAATGTTAATGCTAGGTCGTTGCCCGTAAGTAACGCGCTGCATGGCTCGAGTACAGTGATAAGTGAGTTAGAGCCGCTGCATCGGCGCCCGGATGTAGTGTTAAATGAGCAAGGGCTACCGCGTCATTCTGGACGCACGCGGCTAAAGAAGTTAGTCCATAAGAGCAAAATTAGATTTGGTACTTGGAATGTTGGGACATTAAATTGTAAATCTGTAGAGGTTGTAGGGGTTATGATTCAAAGGAAAATCAATATCCTTTGCTTGCAAGAAACAAAATGGCGTGGAGAAGAAGCTAAGGATATTCAAGGTTTCAAACTTTGGTATACAGGAAAAGTAAGTGCACGCAATGGAGTAGGCATCATTATAGATAAGGAGTGGAAGAAGAACGTTGTAGAAGTTAGCAGAATTGGAGACAGAATTATTTCTTTAAAAATGATAATTGGACGTGAGACTGTTAATATTGTTAGCGCTTATGCGCCGCAAGTCGGGACAGAAGCCAGTCTTAAGGAATTATTTTGGGAGGATCTGGAGGGGTTGATTCGACACATACCACAGAGTGAAAAGATTTTTATTGGAGGAGACTTTAATGGGCATGTCGGGAGGGAAGCTGGTCAGTATGCGAGGGTGCATGGTGGTTTTGGTTTTGGAGAGCTAAACAATGAAGGGCAAACTCTTCTTGATTTCTCATTGGCGTATGATTTTAAGATTGCCAACACTTGTTTCAAGAAGAGAGATGAGCATCTCATCACCTACAAAAGTGGAGCCTCAAGGTCGCAGATTGATTTTCTTTTGGTTAGGAACACAGATAGAAAACTTTGTAAAAATTGTAAGGTGATCCCTGGAGATGCTGTAACGACACAACATAGGGTCCTAGTCCTTGATGTGTGTATTATGAGTAAAATCCAAAAACGTCGACAAGTAGTAACACCAAGGATTAGGTGGTGGCAATTAAAAGGTGAGAAGCAAGATATTTTCAAGCGAAATCTTTTGGATAAAGGAATTTGGGATTCTCAGGGAAGTGCTAACATCATATGGGAGGATATGGCTAAAAAGATACGGGAGGTTGCAAAAGTAGTTTTGGGAGAATCGAAAGGTCCTGGTCCGAGAGATAAGGAGTCTTGGTGGTGGAATAATAGTGTACAGGACAAAATCAAGTATAAGAAGAACTGTTTTAAAGCCATACATTTGTGTAACAATGAGGAAAATTGGGAGAGGTACCGTATGGCTAAGAAGGAAACTAAGAGAGCTGTGGGTGAAGCTCGTTCTAAAGCTTTTGAAGAATTTTATAAGAACCTTGAGACGAAGGAAGGAGAGCAAAATATTTATAAGATTGCCAAGAGTAGGGAAAGAAAATCAAGAGATCTAGAACAGGTAAGGTGTATTAAGGATGAAGAGGGAAGAATTTTAGTTACAGATGATGAAATTAAAAATAGATGGGAGACTTATTTTTCTAAACTTTTCAATGATGGAGAGGATTCATCTAGTAACTTGGAGGATTTAGTAACTGGTGAAGGAGAACAAAATTTGTCATTCTATCGAAAAATACGTGATAAGGAGGTAAAGGAAGCTCTTAAGAAAATGGCAAATGGTAGAGCTAACGGACCTGATTGTATATCTATCGAAGCGTGGAAATGTTTAGGTGAAGAAGGGGTGAGATGGTTAACTAAGTTATTTAATGTGATTTTACGGTCCAAGAAAATGCCTGATGAGTGGAGGAGAAGTACATTAATTCCTATTTATAAAAATAAAGGAGATATTCAGAATTGTACTAACTATAGAGGGATTAAACTCATGAGCCACACAATGAAATTGTGGGAGAAAGTAATTGAGCACAGGTTGAGATTGGAGACAAGTATTTCTGAGAATCAATTTGGTTTTATGCCAGGTAGATCAACTACAGAGGCGATTTATCTACTAAGGGGATTAATGGAAAAGTATCGTTGTAAAAATAAAGATCTACACATGGTTTTTATTGATTTGGAAAAAGTTTATGACCGTATACCAAGAGAAGTGCTTTGGAAAGCGTTGGAAAAAAAGGGAGTACGGATTGCTTATATTAAAGCCATACAAGATATGTATGAGGGGGTAAAAACTAGTATAAGAACGCCTAGTGGTCAAACAAAGGATTTTCCTATAAAGATTGGGCTACATCAGGGATCATCTCTGAGTCCTTATTTGTTCAACTTGATTTTAAATGTTTTGACGGAACATATTCAAGAGGAAATCCCGAAATGTATGCTCTTCGCGGATGATATAGTTCTTATAGCAGAGACAAGAGAAGAGGTTAATTGCAAACTTGAGTTATGGAGGAGGACATTGGAGTCGAAAGGTTTTCGTCTGAGTAGAAGTAAGACGGAATATTTATATTGTAAATTTGATAAAGGACTATTCGAAAATAATTTGGAAGTGAAATTGGGAGATCAAATTATACCTCAAGTGGAAAAGTTTAGATATTTGGGAGCCATTATCCAAAATGATGGCGAAATCAGTGGAGATATTTCACATAGAATTCAAGCTGGGTGGTTTAATTGGAGAAAAGCTAAAGGAGTTATTTGTGACCGTAAGGTGCCTAATAAACTTAAAGGAAAGTTTTATCGTACTGCTATCAGACCGGCAATGTTATATAGTAGTGAATGCTGGGCTCTAACGGGACAGCAAGAGCATAAAGTTAGAGTAGCAGAGATGAGAATGTTACGATGGATGTGCGGACATACACGTAAAGATAAAATTCGAAATGAGCACATACGTGAAAAAGTGAGGGTGGCACCTATTGAGGAAAAAATGGTAGAAAATCGGTTGAGATGGTTTGGGCATGTACAAAGAAGACCAAGGGAGGCACCAGTGAAAAGAGTGGAACATATAACTTTGAGTCCGATTAAGAGAGGTAGAGGAAGGCCTAAGAGAACACTCTTGGAAGTTGTTGAACGTGATCTCTTAATTAATAATATTTCTAAAAGCTTAATAAATGATAGAGCACAATGGCGTCTTGCAATCCATGTAGCCGACCCCACCTAGTGGGATAAAGGCTTGTTGTTGTTGTTGTATTGAGGTCTTGAATTGGTGGGTTTGTGGCTGACACTGTTTTTGTGTTCGATTTTCCTGGTTAGTAAGAGATGATTTTTCTTTCTATGATTGTTGGTAGAGGGATTTGGACGGTTAAGGGACAAGTAACAATTAAAGATCTAGTGTTTTTCCTCTATTAAAAATTAGTTTGAACTTCTTGCCCCTGGTTTGTTGCGTTATGACCAGGGAAGCTCTATGACACCGATGGCATTGATTTAGGTGATTCGAATGGTATGAATGTATGATAGGGTTTAATGATTTTTATTATATTCATTTATCTCCACTTTTTGAGTGGGTGAATGTGAAGTAAATAAGATGGTATGGCTGTCATAAGTGTAGATGGCTTTTCATGTAGTTGCAATGAAGGATTTTATAATATAAATTACATCTCAGTTGACTTCGACATCCTTTTGAATCTCACCACGTTGACATGTGGTTGGCTCAATGTTTAGGATGTACAGCCACCACCTTATATTATTTCTTCATATTAGAAGTAATTATGGTATGAATACTTAGGATACATTCCCATGGTCACTATTAAGGTCTTATTCTTTTTGTGGATATTTACTTAATGCAATTGCCAAATTACATGTATAACCTATTCTCTTGCAGGGTTGGGCTATGTCAGAATCGCTTCTTAATCCCGGTCAAGCCAGGCTGTGTTAACTGATTAAATAGGCGACGTCTGATTTCATCACCTGATGCTGTTGTGTTTTGACTGGGGATCTACTGGGAGAAATTCTTCATGGATTCAGATGATAGAAAGCTTGATTGTGAATTCAGTCATTTATAGACATGTGAGCTTGTTTGCCGTGGAGTTCTCTTGTAATATGCTTACTTGTCTATCCATGATTAGTTTGATCTACCAATTTATTATTAGAAGTCTATTTAAGAATTTCTACCCAAGGTTCTTGGACTGCTATGGATGACATGAAATTGGCCGACCAATGAACCAACCAAAAAAAGTTCAAATCCCCCATTGTTGGGAACAGAGATTGCAATGCTTAAGAGGAATCATGGAAACCTTGAGCCTCAGAAAACCTGAGTGTATTCTCCACTGGATATTTATATGAATGGAGACCTATTATAGTGTTTAGCTATAGGATTCTATTTTAGAAATAAAAAAGGAATTTAGTTATAGGAATGAGTTGCGAGCATATCACCGTGTATATTGTGTGTATTTTCTGAATGTTATTTAACGTCAATAAAATCCCTAATGTTCTAAAAAGTCATGGTTTCATTGGGGACTGCTAGTTTTACATAAGTTTTTTGTTTTCACTGTTGTAGCCTGTTTCTCTTTAGTCACTTTAGTCGTAATAACTTGATATGCTTGTAGAGAACCATGAAAATCAATGGCAATGCAAATTTTCAATTTGGGATCTTGTGGTTCCAAACTTTCTTATTGTTCTATAGAGTGTGTACTTCGAACTGTATAATCATTGTATTTCTTTTTGCTATCATTTTTATTTTCTCTGCATCTGTTTTATGAAAAATCAACTACTTCAATGAGATGCTGTTGCTCATAATTACATATGTTGAGGACGTAAAATGGCAACAGACAAATAAAAAGTAAAGGGATGTTCAAAAAGAGGAAGAGTGATGTTACTCAAAGATGTGTTTGTAGAATCGGAGAAGTTTTTATAGCATAATGTCAATGAAACCGAAATTCTGTACGGAGTATCGGACTTCAATAGAATTTCCAAATCTTCAGTGTTGAATATAATGGAGCTCTTTTGTCCAATTGTAAAGCCCTTCTTTGATTGAAGCCTGTCATCAAGTGAAGGCTTTGCATTTTGATATGCATTTTACTGAACAATAATAAAAATATATTTTTAATTTTGATTTGATATTTTAAATTAATTATTCATTAACATTTTGGCATGAGAAGTGGATTAAACTAAATTATGTGATTTTAGATATGTATGTATGCATTTACATGTTCATGTATAGTAACAAAAAGAAACAGCAACAATCACTATCATCATCATAATATATTTTTTAATTCAATGATAGATCTCCTAAATTTTAGCTCTATGATTTTCAGAATAATAATAATTTTTATGATTATTTAACTTATATGTGAAGTCCTGCAGAGAAGTGGACAGTGTTGGATCTTCAACTCTGGTTGTAGGCCCAAATTGAAGGTTAAAACACATTTTTTGGGCCTCTTTTGGTTTCGGCTCTTTCTCTCCCCCCACTGTGCGCGTAGGGCCGTAGCCTTCTACAAACCATTGAGGGTTAAAAAGTCTTTACAGTCCCCTCCTAAGGACCTATTTGTAATTTTTCCAATAATATATTTAGATGTTTTTTTTGGGTAATGACCATCTATTTTATTTGTTGGTTCCCAATATCATCAAGTTTTTTCGCAAAAATATCGAGAAAACATGTTCAAAATTCAACCTTCCAACTTCTTGAATTTATGGTTAAGTAGTAGACAATTCATTATCAAAACATGCTTATTCAGAAAACAGAATATATTCTTAAATAAAAACAAATGACACCAAACAAAATTGATGTATAATAAAATGACCCTTCCGTCCAATTATTTCGAATAATCAATCGACAGCTTGACTATATATATATATATATATAGCAACTAGTCTAGAATTCCCTTGACTACTTTGCTTTACGAAGCCAGACTCACAATTTTTCTCATCTGTACGCACAATAATGTCCAATCCACCGGTTATTGTATTAAACAAATAAATCAAGTGCATTTTTGTCAGATTTAATCTCTGTTTTCTTGAATTTTTCAATTACAGATTATCAGCAACATACTCCCGCCAAACTAATATAAAGCAAGTTATAGAAGCATTTGTTAGTCCAAAATATAAGATATTTGGTAGTTTTTATAATTTTTTTTTTCAATTCTACCTCTACTTCATGAATTACTCCTTCCAATCCCTATTATATATGACACTTTCTATAATAATTCTTTGGTTCTTAATATAAGGTACATGAAAAAATATTTATTACTATTTTCTAATTTTACCTTTGTTATAAATTTATTTTTTTGGCTCTTTACATACTATGTATCTCTTTCTTCTTTTTTTCCTAGTAGAGGTAGACTTGCAATTTTTTTTCATTTTATAACACATTTAATGAGTTAACTGTTATTCATTGACTTCACTAAAATAGTTGAAAGCACTTTATAATCGAGATTAATAGGAATATACTTATTGAAAAGACGATCATGCAGTGAAATTTCAACCATCATTATTAATTGTCATTAAACACTTATATAAAATATTTAATAAAGATATAATTAAAAATACAAAAAAAAGTTGGGAAAGATAAAAGTTTTACTAAACTTTTTTAAGAACAGTACAAGTTGTTATTGTACCAATATCCTATATCATGATTCAAAAGAAGTATACAAGTAACCAACCAACCAACCAGACATATATATGTTAAAATTTTGTAGATGTGTAGCGTTGAGTTTGAACTAGATGTTTTGTGGTTGACAAAACTTTCATTTCAGTCTGTGGCGTTTTCACCATCAGTTACTTCAGATACCTATAATCTGACTGAAACCTCTACACACACACACACACACGCATATATAAATCTGCAAGTTGTGGTTGGCAGAGAGAATCAATGGGTTAGAGAGATAAATTTGTATGATACGATATTGAATGAATGAATGATGGCACTCCAAATAACTATAAATGATGTATATCGTGCAGCTGTTGCTGTGTGATATCAGATACACTGATGCAGTCAACTTCTTTGTTTTCTTGCTTTCTTTTACTTACCATGCATATGAGAGAGAGAGAGAGAGAGAGTAGTAACGTTGTTGTTATTATTATTATTATTATAGAGAATTGATATATATATATATATATATATATGTATTATAAATCCATAGAGGGAAATTGAAAAGTGTCTGCAAAATGGTACGTTTGAAGTCACGCTTATATATACATTTGTGGGGAGGTTTTCTTACACGCCACATCTGCACTACACTGTCTATTGTTTCTTCAATCACTCAGCTTTAACCAAATGATTGCTTATGTTCCACAAACATCAAGAGAGAGATCCGGGGGAGCCATTGAATTTGATTTTTTAAAAAAACAATTTTTGATTAAAAAAACTATGTTACTCTACACGCTACCCAATATAGTATCAGATAGAGAAAGAAGGACTACAACTAGTAATTAAAAAGTAGATTATGAATGTATATGAAGTTTGAGATGTGTTTAAGGCAAATAGCTTAATCTATGTACTGTGAATTGGTTCGAGAATAATACAAAGAATTGACTTATAGCAAATTGATCATTTGCCTAAGATTATTTTGTTTTGGGGTTATAATAGTCAAATTGTTTATACCTTTTTTGAACTCCTTCGTTACTTTAGTCTAATTGTGTGTGTGTATATATATATATATATATATTGATTCTATTGGGAAACATGGGTATTACTACCTCCTGTCTAGACTAATTTAAACCCCTATTTTGTAGGATTGTTATTATCATCGGTGGCCTTACAAGTATTTCGAAATGCCTTTGGCATCTTTATTTAATATAACTGTATATTTGAAGACTTAAATTCAAAATTCTAAGTTAAGATGATTTAACTCTCTGTATTAGTTGAATGAAACGTCCCTCAGTTAGTCTAATTATAATTTTGATGGTTCTCTTCATGATAAATATTGATTCTTTATTGGTTGTTGAATATATTTTGGAAGGGTGGGAGAAAAAGGACCAATTTAACGATAAATTTTTTCATGAACCAAGAGTATTATCTCATCCATACTCTATCTAATAAAATTACACCATTTCAATTAAGTAAAATCTTATGTGTATTGTTTTTAATGACTTTATTTTTGAAATGAAATGTCTCTTTGATTTAATTTCTTGTATTTTTTTTCTACTATCATCAATGACAAAATAAATTTATATTTACAGTTATCTGACATGACATATTTTATTTACTGGCTAGTATACAAATGATGTGATATACCTGTGCATACAAGAATTTATGACTGTTAAACAAATTAATTGGAGAAAAGGACCTAACGTGCAGAATATGGGAGATAAAATGCAGTTTGTGGAAGAAAAATTGCAGATTTTGGATCAGGTCCTTTCCCCCCAATTAATTTGCTTGTTTGATCCTTTATCATAATATTTTCCCAATATTTTTTGCTTTTGTTAATCAATGGTTAATCTGGGTGATGGGATTATATGCTCTATGGAGAAAAGGGTTTTGTTTAAACTTAAAAGTATTAACGAAGAAGTGAGGGTGCTGAAGCAGTGAATAAAATCAATGTGTAAAACAAGCTTAGTGAACATGGAAGCAGAGTTAAAATGCATAAACATACTAATAAGCAGTAACATATATAAAGAAGTAATTACATATATATGTAACAACCACTCATTGCCTCGTGAACAACTTAAAAAAATTGATAAGACATGTAATAATTGTATAAGTGTTTGTCTTGAATAAACAAACAATCATTTGAGTATTAATAAGTAACCATATGTTAGTAACAAGCGGACATTTATTCAGTTCTATTTTTCATTCACTTAATAGGGGTAATTAGGTTTTCCCCCTTAAATCTTATTTTCAATTAGGTCCTAAGGGTGCAATGATATTTCAAAATTATAGGATCATTCTTTGGTATAAAAAGCTACAAAAATCCTTAGATGATATTTTCCCAAAAATAAATGAATTTAACGATTTCAAGTACTCTATAGATATTGTTTAAAATATAATATAACAGTGTGTATTTTAATTTGAAGCATTATAAATAAAGTTGGTTTATATACGTTGATCCTAATGGAATAACCACTTAAGCACGGGATTTTAGGTTTGAGTTCATAAAAAAAGTCTTTCGAAGAGCTATCTATAATTCAACTAATAATATTTGACTTTGACTCATTAGATAGCCATATTAAAAAAAATTTATACTTTCAGCTATTATTGGATTAAAAAAGACATGTAATTCTATTTCTATTTTCTAACTTGTGAAAAGTTTATGTAAGTTTAGTCATGGTGGCTCATCAAAGATCAAGATATTAAAAAAAAGTATCAAAATACTTATATATTAGTCACTAACAAATTTTTCATATTAACAATAAAATTTGACCTCAATCTTACATGTTATGAATCAAATTTTTATTAATTGTATTGTACCAATCTTTATTGATATATAATTTGCCCTTTCTTTTTCACTTGGACGGTGGATTTGGAAAGGGGCGAAAAGTGAGTGGGGTCCACCAAGAGCGAAATGGAAAACTGAGAAAGAAAAGCTACGTGCAGGAGACAAACTTTTTCACCGCCTGGATCATGCGCGCGTTGTAATTTTTGTTGGGCATGCGTGCCCTCCCTCCCTCCCTCTCTCTCTCCCTCCCTCCCTCCCTCCCTCCCTCCCTCCCTCCCTCTCTCTCTCTCTCTCTCTCTCTCTCT